GGGGATACAGATGAATGTCCATTTTGTATCTGTGTATTCCAAATGGTTGGGATAGATATATAGTTACATTCTCTTAATGAATAGAGGGATTTGTTCTAATAGTGTCTGTAAATAGATATTGTGTCCGCATCTTGTACAGCAATTAACCACTAGGAAGAATGTATGCAACGTATTAATTATTGAAACTGTCCTACCAAATTTGGTTTGAAACTGTCTCATTGCTATTTGTTTCACAATAAAATTATGGAAAAAAAGATTTTAAAATTTAATTTTAAAAGCCTTTTTTATTAGTTTTTTTCTTATTTTTTGGTATAATAATATTGCATGTATAAGAGGGCATACTTGTAAAAATAGATATATAAACATACAAATAGATATATCAACATATAGGGCAGTGATGGCGGGACTTTTAGAGATTTCAGTGGTGACAGGCAGCCCTCTGTGGCATGTGTGCTGTGGGTCCACCACAGCTGGCCTAAGGTGTTGCTGAGGAAGGCGGCTCGAGGCCCACAAGGCCTTCCTGCACCCGGCTCCCAGCGTCTGCTGAGTGCCCTCCCCGTGCCCGCTTCCTCCTCTGCAGTGTCTGCCTTCAAGCTCTACCAGCGGGCCAAGCACGTGTACAGCGAGGCAGCCCGGGTGCTGCAGTTCAAGAAGATCTGTGAGGATGGCCCTGAGGACGCGGTGGCGCTGCTGGGGGAGCTGATGAACCAGAGCCACCGCAGCTGCCGGGACCTGTACGAGTGCAGCTGCCCCGAGCTGGACCAGCTGGTGGACACCTGCCGGTGAGTGGAGCGTGGGGTAGGGCTGGGACTTTCGGACCGCCATCAAGCGCTCCAGACACAGGTCAGGGATGGGCAACCCTGCCTTCCTTTCCTTTTTGTTGGTTTTTATGCCTTTAAAATTTTTCTGAGTCGTAATGGTGCATAATGCTACTGCTGACCATGGGGAGCCATCCCATGTGCAGAGCACACCTTAGCTCTCCTTTAGCCTTTGCACTCCTCTGTGAGTGACCTCCCATGCACAATGCTGGTCCTCGTCTGTCCTGCTCACCTCTAGGGCCGGAGGACTCCAGCCTGGCTCTGTTCCATCGTGCGGCTCCAAGTTTGGGTCTCACTGTGGGCACCCGGCTGGCCCTGAACTCACTGCAGTCGTCTGCCCAGCCCCTAGTGCTGGCCCTGCAGGCATGCGCCCCCGAGCGCTGCAGGAGAGACTCCCACGAGGGTGAGCCATGCCTTGCTCTTGGTATTTTAATGATCACGCTGTTGCTGAGTCAGGTGTTGTCATAGGTTTAGGTTCTCAGAGGGGAGACAGGCGGACAGGATGGGGTCCCTACAGGGAACCCTTAGAAGCCAGCTTGATCTGCCTCCCAGGGTTAACTGAGGCAATCGGAGGGCCAAGGGGACTGAGGAAAGCCTAGTGTGTAGGTGGTCGATGGAGACAGACTTGGAAAGAGCTTCCTCATTATTGTGACTGAATGGGAACATCGATGGCCCCTTCACCCCGTAGGTGTAGCACTGGCCCCAGGAGAAATGAAGGGAATAAACAGGGCCCGAGGAAGGTGCCGAGCTGCCTGCAGTTAGCATCAAGGAGCAGGAAGCTGCTGGGCGCCCAGCTCGCATCGCAGCCCGCAGATGGCACAGCGCCCAGCACCTGTCAGGGACTCGACCCCGCACGAGGAGAAGCACTGAGCTGTCAGTGAGCTCGCTGGATGCCACAGAGCCTTCCAGAGCTCGTCGGGACGGAGGCTGTCCTGCCAGCACCAAGGGCGTCGCAAGCCGAGGGGACGCGCAATGTGCAGCTGTGGAAACCCGGGGAAAAGATGGCTTACGCAGAAGGAGCAGGAAGGGTGGGATGGACGCTGCATCCTCCTCACACAGCTCTGCAGGAGGCTGGCCAGCTCCCCAGGTCCCCAGGAGTCTGTCCTGCCCTGGGATGGGCAGCTGCTCACCGAGGCCGGGTGGAAGCGCACTGAGGGAACAGAAGGTGGGTGGCCGAGGTGGCCCAGGGTCTTCTGGGGAGAGCGGTGTTGGTCACAAAGGAGGCAGCAGCAGGAGGGCCTGGAGGCCTTGGAACTGTGGCTTGTGCCAGGGAAGGGGCCCTGCTGAGAGCTGGGGCCAGATGTGCCTTGGAGGAGGATTCGGGACAATGGCTGTGGGAGAAAGGACTCAAGAGCTCTTCTGGGACTTCGGCCTCAGAAACCTTGTTTCTCCGGAAGCCATATCTTTGGCAGCCCTTCTTCCAGGTTCCGGGGCAGACGCAACCCACCTTGGAAGATCTTAGAGCAGGGGAGGGGGCGAAGCCCTCGAGCAGGCTCCAGGATGCTTCGGCCGGAAGCTGGCCGCAGCCCAGCCTCGCCGCTCCAGCCCTCCTCCCAGCCTGGGCCAAGGTGCGGAGCTCCCGGTGCCTGTGGCCCCTGCTGGCCTCGAGGATTGCGGTTGGAGGCCTCCGCCACCGTCGTCCGTAGCGCTTGCGCACTGGGCAGACTCGGCTGGCGCACAGGTCGGCGGGCCTCGGGGCACGTGGAGCCCAGCTTCGCCTCTCTGTGTCCTGAGCTCCAGGACCTCCATGTCTGTTCCATTCCAGCATGCACAGGCCTAGCCTTTAAGAAAATGTGCATCTGGTGAAGAGTCTGTGGCTGCTAGAAGGGGTTATTTATTTTAAGCCCCCTTTGTCATCCTTTCTTGATGGCAGCCAGGGTGTTTCTACCTCAGTAGTCTTTGCCTGTGGTACGAATTTTCAGAGAAGAGCCCAGGTGCGTCCAGGGCAAGGAGCCCTGTGGTTTTGTTTGGAAGCCAGTTGCTGAGTACTTTGGTGAGTTTCTACCTAGCTCATCGCCAGATAGTGCAGTGTCCTGTGTTGAAAGATTCTCTTCTGGCAAGTTGCAAGTGTTGGCTGGACTAGCTCCCTGGTCCCTAAGCTCCGTGCACGGCTCACACTTCCTTTGCTGTCACCAAAGAGCAGATAACACCTGCAGTGCTCTGCAAGGTTAGTGATACTGGGGACCATGTGACAGCCTGCACCCAGGATGCTCAGGGCCAGAGCCAGGAGGGTGCACGGCAGGCGATGCCTTCCTCCCTGCGTGGCTCGCCTGTGGACAGCCATGGGCTGTGAAGAGCGGAGGTGCTGTCTTTTATGTGGATGTTTGAAAAGTGAAAGGGCAAGAAGAAAGTGTTCAGAAGGCTGTGAAAGATCGGAGGCAGAAGGAGCACCTCTCAGCGGGTAGGAAGAGGAGCTCGGCGCCCTGGCTGGGGCTGATGTGGCCCCCGGTGCTGTGCTTCGCCTGCTGGCGTTGCTATGTTCAAGAGCAACACCACGCCTGGACCTGCCTCCATGCCCAGAGATGTGGACACGAGGAGAAGGTGTGCGCGGGGGTTGGTCGCCCTGAGAGACAGCAGACTAAGCAGGATGGCGATGTGGGCTCAGGAGAAGGATAACGATGTGGGCTTGGGGAAGAGCAGTGACGTGGGCCCAGGGGAAGGGCGGTAAGGTCAGCTCAGGAGGAGGATGGTGAGGTGAGCTTGGGAGGAGGACAGAAATGTAGACTTGGGGGAGAGCGGTGACATGGGCCCAGGGGGAGGGTGGCAATGTGGGCTCAGGAGGAGGATGGCAACGTGGGTTTGGGAGGAGGACAGAGATGTGGACTTGGGGGAGGGCAGTGACGTGGGCCCAGGAGGAGCACGGCCCCGGCCGTCTGGCCCTCCTCCCTGCTCCTAGGTGGCTTCTCGAGCTTCCGGTTGGCTCCAGTTTTCCTGGAAGCTATCTGTCTGGAAGGAGAACTCCGTGACTGAGGACAAAGGACCTGCAAGCCTGCAGTGTCCAAGACAGTAGGTGCAGGTGCACCTTCCCTCGGCTGCACAATAAACACAGAGCTCTGAGGCGAGCAGAGGAGGCACGGAGATGGTCAGGGCTGGCTGTGAGAGAGTCGGCTCAGAACCCCGAGCAAGGACCAGGAAGCAGGAAGGAAACTACTCTCAGAGTTGGGCTGCTTGTTGGTTGTTTTTTTTTAAATTAAGTTCATGTAGAATTTTATGTGAAATAAAATAATGAAGGAAAAACTGATGTTTGCTCAATTATAAAGTGTCTTGCAAATGAACAAAAGGTGAATTTAAAGAAATGACTACATTTCAAAGATTTACTGAGGAACAGAAAATTTTGAAATCAAGGCAATTAGATGTGGACAACTCATTTGTTACCAGTCTCCTGAAATTTACTTAAGTAAAAATAGTGAATGCTTTTTATTTCTGTTCTGACACTTGTTGAAATCAGAGAAGATTCATCGCTGTATTATTGCCCAAGCTGTTAAGGAAGACAAATAACAATTTTGATGGGCTGACTACGGGTACAGAAGTTAGCTCGCTGCGTCTTCTGCCGAAGTCTTCTCTTGTCCAGGGTCCTTTCTTCTGGTGTGGAGGCTGCGGGAGTCCATAGTCGTGCTCTTCCCCGTGGCTGAGAGGGCCACTCTGCCCCCTTGGCAAGAAGAGGGACTGTGCCATGGAGCTGGTGCAGGGCCTGCTGCTCCACGCACGGGTCCTGCTTGCTGAGGTTCAGGCCAGCAGCTGCCCGTGAGCGGCCTTTGGGGGCTGCCACTGCTCAAGTGGACCTGGAAGCTCGCTTTCCTGTGGTTCCCATGATCCCAGCCATCTGAACGTGACGTTCCCGTCCTGACCACGAAAGCCATAGCAGTGTCCTGGAAGCTGTTTTCTGAGATTCTTGCCAGGGAACGCTGGGTGTCTTTTCAGGTGAAGCACATACTATTAGCTGCTTAGATGTCTGTATGACGTACATTTTTACCTAACTGTCTAGCAGCTGTTTGTTAGAACCAGATGTCTGGCCTTGTGGAAGGCTGGAGTAGAGGGAGGTATAGGACCTGGCCCAAAATTCAGGACTTCCTGGAGCGATCTGATGTCCATTTCTACAATAAATGAATCTTCACCTACTTTGAATTAAATGAAATCTCACTGCAATGGAAGGCGCGATTCCTTCCTCCGTCTCCCTGGCCCTTCCGGGTCTCCTCCCTTCCCTCCCTACTGCCCAGCAGGGCTCTGAGGCAGGGTCCCCCCTGCCCTGTCTCAGGCGCACAGTCTCCAGCTGTGGTGGAGACCTCGGGACTGCTTCCCTAACCCTTGCACTGCCTGTCCAGTGTGGCACAGCTCAGGAGGTATGTTGCTGACGTGTTACCATTCACCCAGAACAAGTTTCAAGTGGGGAAAGTCTGGCCGCACCTGCCTCACCCGAGCTACTTTCCTGATGGGCTGGGCTGAGCCTCTCAGTGTTCCACCTCCTGGCAGTCCCTGGACTTGGACCTGGCCTCTGCCTGGGTTTGTGTGGCCCTGGCAGCTGCACATTTAGGACCTCAGTGCGAGGGCTGCATGTGGGGTTCAGAGCTCTGATGAGTTTGGCCCATGGGGTCGAAGCATCCAGTGCGCTTGCCTCTGCAGCGGGCAGGGTTGGCTGGAGCCCATGGGGCAGAGTGAAGACTTTACCCAGAATGACTTCCGGCCTTGGCTCCCTGGCAAATGGGAGGCCCTCAGGAAAATTGGCCTTGTGGGCCTGACTGCTATAGGCCCCGCAACCCCATGAGAAACAATGCCCTCTGTTTGCTGTAGGTTCAGTTTTAAAACCACAGCCTTCAAAAATTGTTTGAAGGATGGATTGTGAGACAGTTTGCCCAGAAGTCCAGCAAAGGCTTGGTGAGCTTTGTCTAGAAAATGGCACAGCGGGGGTCACAGGGAACCCAGGGGCGCCTCATCCTTCTCCACCCTGAGTCACAGCTGCCCTGGATGCCCAGATGTGAGGGTCTTTTATCGATCAGTCAGGGACATCTCAGTTTCTCCCCCAACTTTCCACAATGGGAGATAGTTTTTTTTTTTTTTTTTTTTTTTTTTTAAAGGAACTGGGGATTGAACTCAGGCCCTTGCGCTTGCCAGGGAAGGGCTTATTCAACTGAGCCATCTCCCCAGCCCCTGGGAGATAGTTTTTGATGAGGCTACATACTATAACTTTTATTGTCAATGAACAAACTTAAACAAACCCTCTGCCAAGCTAAAAACTCGGAATGATTCCCGAATGCCAGGGTCAGAGCTTTTCAGTACAGATGGCAAGAGTTTGCTCTCAGTTCAGCTACTCAGCTGAACGTTTGAGAGACAGGAAGAGCTCACGAACCTTTCTTTACTTGTAAGAACTTTTTTTCCTTATTTTAAGCATCTGTTTTTATGGGAGTAGCCTATTTTCATAAATAAAACAGGTGATGGAAAAAAGCATTAAGAATATCACAGAGGGGAAACAGCGTCCTAGAGCAGGAGCGATGCTCTATTGATATTTTCCAGAAAGTAAAATAGCTCATTTTGGTGGAAAAAGGAACAAAACTGTACTAAATTAATTATGCAGTTTTTAATCTGCTGCTAATTCGGAGTAAATTCTGTTAGCAGGAGCTAATTGGAAATCTATGTTAGCTTCTGTTATTGAAACAAATCACATCGTTTAAACTGAGTGGTTCTGGTGCGTCATGTAGGGCCTTTCACTTGGGTTCGGCTGCCTACTTGGTGGGGACTAAAATTATCTCCAGAGCTGAAGCCCTCCTCCTGACAAGCTGAGGTAGTCGCAGTCGGCTCCAGAAGGTGCACGGAAGCCTGGCATAATTCTCCGGAGGGCTTAAGCCAAGCCACTAACCTAGAGTTCAACAACAGGCCGTGCCTATGAAGTTCTTCAGAGCCGTCCAGGTCTTTCTCTGCCACTTGGGGCCAGGACCCGTGGCCTCTCCATGGCTGGGCAATTGCTGCACGGCTAGCTGTACCACAGTCCCAAGTTTGGTGACACAGCTAAGCCTTCAGATGCAGCTGCGGGACCTAGAGGAAGCAGCCCAGTGTGCCAGGCAGTGCCCCAGTGACCATGAGCTCAGCTCTCCAGCCCTAACTGTGCCCGGAGCGTCTTCTTTCCTCCCTCTTGCTGGCCTCCTGCTAGCTGGTGCATGGATCCTCCAGGGGCTGTACCTGGGACTCAGGATGCCAGAGATTAGTGCACGCCCATGATACATGGCTGCTGCTGACCATTGTGACTTGGAGTCAAAACTGGAGATGAGAGTTAGATGCAACGAAGAAGTATCAAGTCACGTCGCAAGCAGCTTGCACTTGTGAATGCCCGGAGCTGTCCCATGGTACCCCAAGCCTGCACACTGTCTCACCTAGGCATGCTGTGTATTCTCTGACATGGAGCAGCCACTCTGTCATTTGTGCTAATCTCTTCCTCTCTTTGCAGGAGGGCCGGAGCACAGGGCTCGCGGCTCACCGGCGCAGGATGGGGCGGCTGCACGGTGTCCCTGGTGCCAGTGGACGCGCTGCCCGGTTTCCTGGCCCGGGTGCATGAAGCCTACTACCAGGGGAGCGGGCGCGGCATGGCCCCCGGGCAGCACAGCCTGTTTGCGACCAAGCCTGGAGGCGGGGCTCTGGTTTTCCTGGAGGCCTGAACAATGTCAAAAGTCTCTGAGAAACTATTTAGGGCATTCAGGAACTGGCAGGCCTTTCCACGCCGCAGCAAATTAACCTTGTCTCCGCTTTGTATTAGGTCGAAGGGCTGTTATTAACAAGATGCATGTCCAAAGTCGGCTGAAAGCCCCCTATGCTTTATAATGATTATTTTTTCCATCTTAAAATATTTTTTCTTTTATTTTTTACCAATATGAGCCAAAGTTAAGCTTGGACAGATGATTTACTAAGACTTATTAGTCTGGGATTTTAAGATGAATGGTAAAGCACACTAATACACAGACTGGACTTGAATTAAACACACTGCTGCAATTAAAAGGCTACAGCTAAGTCATGCGTGCTGTTCTTGAAGGGGGCTCACTGCTCGTTTCCCTTCGTGCTCTTCCTCCTCCGGCTTGCGGTCCTCTGTGGCTGCCGCCGCCGCCTCCGCCACCACCGCCACCGCCAGTTCCCTGTGCATCTGTGCCTCTCTGTGCTGTGAAAATGATACGTTATGGAGTCATCGATTTTCTTCACTGTCAGATGCCTAAATATGAGATTTCCCAGTTATTAAGACTGTAGAGACCACCCTGTAAGAGGTCAGATTTAGGGGAAAAAAAATCAAGGCTCATTCAAAGTGTTTTTAAAAAGTGATACCATTTTCCAAAATTTCGAATCTATCACTCAGCAGAGGAACAAGGAATTAATGTGGTGGTGATTCAGACTTTTGGTTTGTTGGTGGAACTGCCTTTCTGCCCACTCTGTCCTTCTCCAGAGGCCTCTGTGGTCCTGTCCTGGGAGCCCCCATCCATGCCCCATGCCCCCTCTCTGTGCATGGCAAGGCCCATTTGTGTGTGTGGACCGGCGTGAGGCCAGTGTGCAGGTGCGTGGGTGAACGTGGCTGTGAGAAGTTTGACGTGGAAGCAGCTTGGTAGTGGTGTTGGTGGCCACATACGTGCATTTGTTAAGAGTGAGCATGCAGTCAGCCACGTGGCCACATGGCAATGGCGGATGAATGGCTTCCCTTGGAGACAGGCTACAGGAGGCCATTTTTTGGTTACACGATGATTTAGCCCAAAAGGTGTGGGTGTTTGGCTGAAATGCCGAGGTAACAGAGACAGAATGCATTTGTGATTTGACTTACTAGACAACTGTTACAGTTGTCTATTCTTGTGTCCCCTCTGTAATGAGCAGCTCAGATGGGGCCTCACGCTCTAAAGCTCAGTTTCAGAGAGGCCGAGGCAGAGGTGGTTGGTATGTTTCCTAAAGAACAGCAGTCATGCCGGGAAGCTGAAAATCGATCTCGGCAAGCTTCTAACTGGAACAAAGGCTGGCACCTGGGAAAGTGTAAGTCCAACTTGTTGGAAATATTTTCAGTCTTTAAACCCAACAATCCAAGACTTCAATTATTTAAATTTATAATCCTTTGTGCTTTTAATCCTTAGCCATTTTCCACAAAGGGTTTGTAGTTAGCATACAATTCTTAAAAGACACACGCATCAGTAAAATGCCCCTTGTCGCTGCCTCGTGACTGCATTTGTCTTTCACCACGTGATCCCTGCTCACGTGTAGCCGCATGTGAGTACGGGCGCACTCCCGTGCTCTCAGCAGCTGGGGAGGCTGATGCGGGAGGCGTGCATGGCCAAAGCCTGGCTAACTGAGTGAGGCCCTGTCTCAAAAGAAAGGGCTGGGGTGGAGCACTCTCCTGGCCTCCGCGCTGGCCCTCGGTTCTGCCCCAGCCCATTTTAAGCTAAAGCTCGACTCTGTTCATTTTGATTTCTGACCCGGAAAAAAGAGCCGTGTTTTAGCCCTACCATCCCTAGGAGCTCTGAGAAACATCACAAGTGTCTGGAAGGACAGGGCGGGGCCACTGGACAAAAGCTCTCTGCAGAAAGTGGAGTCTGAGTGGAGCCCTGAAGGGTGAGCAGAGCGGAAGCAGGGAGGATGCACAGGGCTGAGCAGGCGAGTACGCTGCAGCGGCACCCGGCTCTGCGGAAGGCTCTGTGGAAGGAGGCCCGCTGGGCTGCGGAGGACGGTCTGACCTGGTTGGCTGCAGCCAGCTTGGAAAGTCCAGCAACATTCAGAGCCTGTTGACGGGTGGGCAGCACAGGGCCCCATCTGCTTGTGTGCAGTGTGGCCTGAAGTGTGTTCAGTGCTCAGCAGACACTGCGATGGTGCTGTGGCCTGCAGTCCTGCAGCACAGCCGTGAGTGAGAGCAGATGTGGCCTCCTGCCCTGAGAGCCTGGCTGCAGGCACTGCTGTCCCCACCACCCCAGCAGGGCCCTGGGACTCAGACCCCACCACTCAGCACTCAGCTCACAAGGTTTGCAGCACATGCACACTGCAGCATGTTCTGACTTCTAGTATCTCTGTGTCCACGTCTCCATCAGTGGTAGGAAAGGCAGACCAAGGACGGGGAGAGAGTACGTTTTTGTGGGAGTAAAAATAGTCTATATAGGTGGGGAGATAGCTCAGCGGTTTAAGTGCCTGCCTGGCAAGCGCAAGGCCCTGGGTTCGGTCCCTGGTACTGCATGCTGTGTTGGCCATTGAAACCGGGTGTGGTGGTGCATGCCTGTAATCCCAGTGCTGTGAGGCTGAGACAGGAGACCATGAGGTAGTGAGACCCTGTACCAAATAAATACAAGATTAAAAAAACCCTTAAAAATTAAAAAAAAAAAATCTGCTCCCAGCGCTTTCTCAGTTTTCTGTCACTTCCTGGCCCCTGGAGGAATTGGATGCAGCCCAGTTTTGACTTGTAGTAGCAAGCAAAGAGGTGGCTTACATCTGACATCGGACTGCCCACCTGCTGGCTGGCTGTCCACCGCCCTGCCCAAGCCCTCACGTGTGGAAGGCAGGAGGCCTTCAGACCTACGAGGGCTGTGCAGAAGGCAGGAGGAGTGAGGAGAAGTGGGGCGGGGGGGGGGCCCCTCTTGCTTCTCACCCGAGTCCTGCTGGGACCTTGCCACACTGCCCTGTGCTGCTCTCCCCAGCAGCAGGGGCCGCCCCTCGAACCCAGCTGCTAGCCCTGTGGGCCCCTGCTGAGCAGCAGTGAGAAGGAAGATGCGGGCGCAGCCATCTGCGCTTTCCTCCTCTCCACTCAGCCTGCACGCGAGGTCCTCATTTGCATACATTGTCCCTGGCCAGAAGCAAGGAGTGCAGCCAGTGAGCATGAAGTTGTCACTGAAGGTGTAAAGCAGAGCACTGTACGCGGCAGGTGGGAACTTGGGTGAGGCCCCGGCTTCTGAGGGTAGAGCGAGAATTCTCAGTTTTCAGGAAGGAAACATACCAGTCTATGCAGGAACTTCTCAAAGTCATTCTGAGCTTCAGCAGGTTTCTTGATAGCCTTTGTTTGGAGTCTAACCACAGAATAAAGAAAATCAGTAATCAAACTCATTGTCCTTCTATCATTAAGTAATCAACATTTACAGAGCGTTTCACATGCTGTGCATTTGGTAACATATTGCCTGTGTTAATTCAGTTACCTCAACCTGAGCATGCAGGAACTGCTCTTACCCTATTTATCAGTGAGCAGGCTCAGTCACTGTTCCAGCTGCCAGTGGGCAGTGTGAACCCAGGCCCTGGGACTCAGCTCCACCCACTGTGGACCCTCCCCAGCAGGGGGCACCCTCTTTGGCTACATGGTCCACACCCAGGCATCAGTTTAGCTGATCCCACCCACTAGGCTTGGCTTGGACGCTGAGGAGTAATGGCAGGAGAAGACAAAAAAGCAAGGGGAAGATGTGAGGGAAGAAAGAGGAGATAGAGGAGGCTGATTTAGGACAAGGGCTCTCCAGGCAGAGAGCACTAAGGTGAGGGGCCCAGGAATCTGTTCTGATTCCTATCCAAGTCTTCATCCAAGAAATCTCTGTGAAAGAGTTGAAGCCAGGTGAAGGAGGAATCTGTCTGGAGTTCTTAGGCTGAGGGTCGGGGGGTAGGCCAGGGGAGGTGGCAGGAGACATTGGGACAGGGTGCAGCACTGGTGAGAGAAACACAGATGAGAAAAAGAAGGGTGAAAGAGGGTGGACGTGCTGTTGATTTTGTTTTAGTTTGTGTCTAGGCATTCCCTAAAGCCTCATGCAGTCATGGAGTGGGCTTCTAGAGTTTTTGATTGACTCATGGTCCAATGCTGGGATTATGGGTATAGTGTGGCACCCCCCTGGGGTGGATAGCTTGCATACAATGTACGGGAGAAAAAGAGGCCTGCTCTCTGCTGTCCCTCCTCTTTTGCGCTTGCTGCTTTTGCTGTTTTCCACCACCACGACCTGTTGCTCTCTGCCATATGCCACCCTGCCTTTGCGCCAGCCAAGTATGGACAAAACTGAGTTAGATAAACCTTTCCTCCCTTAATTTTGGGTGTTGGGTATTTTGTCCCAGAAACAAGAGAAAACTAACCAAGACAGAATGTGGTAGCAGGCATGGGGTGATTGTTGTGATCTACCTGGCCATGTGGCTTAAGAGCCTTTGTAATTAATTTGGAAAGTTCTTGAGAGACTGGTCAAAGAGGCAGCCCACGTATGGTGTAAACTATATTAGAGACTCTGGTCGGAGCCTGGAAAATCAGAGTACCAATGGAAATGGTGCCAGTTTATATGAAGCTTAGGAGGCTTCAACTGAGAAAAACTGCACTGGCTGCCGGACCCACGTAGTATATTGTGCTTTGGCAGAAACTTGGTCTGCATGTTGCTCGTGTTTAGAGATATTGCCTGGGTGGAAAAAGAAGAAATTCAATGAGGTCCACTATTGGGATGGTGGCATATTTACTGTCGAGAGCTTTTGGCTAGAGGGGTGGCTTTAGGTTGCAAGGATGAAGCAGAGGAGAACATTGTTGTTAAGAACAGGACAATAGAAAAATGAACCAAGGCGTTTCACATTTGAAATGCAGGAGATCTGTTTTTTAGTCTTGCCATGCCTTGTTAAAAGTTAATGGGAAGCAAGGGGTGTGACTGTAATACTTCTTTTAATATGCTTTTAAATGTCATTTTTATATATGTTTATAATCAGGTTAATCAAAGTATTGTGTTTTAACCTTGAATTTTGGTTACCCTTTGAATATTATAAATTTTGGTGCTGAAATGAGTACAAAAAATTTATGTGTAATTATAATATTAATTTAAATCTGAATAGACCAAGACATGTTAACTTTTCACAAATCTTCCAGTAGAGAATAGTTTAAGGAAAACTGTATGGTTATGGTTCCGCAAAAAAAAAAAAAAAAAAAAAAAAGATGTCACTAAATTGACCAGGGGTGGATTGACAACTGCTGTTCAACTTGAAACTCGCAGCTGAACCGAATCAGCGTAGCCTGGGCGTGGGAGGCCCGCCTCAGGCTTATTGCCAGCGGTGCGAGAGGCAGAACTGGAGTAGGCTGGAGGCTATTAGGGCAGCTGCTGGTTCTCTTGGGCTAGTTTGCTGGAGGTCCTTGTCACGCTGGCTTTCCCGATGAACTTAGCTGTTCTTGTCAGAGGAGGAGCTCGGGACCTTGTTGCCACTGCGAGTCGCTACGGGTCACTTTGGGGGAGCCCTGGCCCTCACTTTGAGTGTGGCTTCCTGGCTCCAGAGGGGAAGGTGGTGCACTGCTCAGTGTCCTGGAGAAGCTTGTCTCATAGCCTTTGCTGATAGGAGCTCGGCTATTCTCATCTTTGGAGGAGCTCGGGACCTCACAGTGGCTGAGGACGCTGTGGCGCTTTTCATGGAGCTCTGGTGTTTATCTTGAGCGCTGCTTCCTGACTCCAGTGCAGCTCCCTCGCCTGCTGGCCCTGATCCTTCATCCTCCTGGCACTTTGGGCCTTTCCAGCCCACACCCATGAAACAGACATTGTCCTGGGCCCTCAGCCTCTAGTTGGACTTGTGGGAGGCATTGTTATGGGCTCTAGGTCTTCACCTGGACTCATGCACGACACTGCTGTGGGATCCAGGCCTCAGCTGGATTCTTTGGTCTTTCTCATGTGGATAGACTTCCTACACTCTTTTGTGGTGCATGATTCTTTGGCTGACTACTATAAATAATCTTATAAAATGTGTCCTATATTGTATTGTTCCCTTTGTAAGACTCCTGATCTATGACAGATTTCATTGCAGTTCTCGAGGAAAGCACTGACATTCTTTTGCAGAAACTGGTAGAAAGCGTAATTCTCTGGAGACGCCAAATAGCCCTTGCTGAGGCAGAAGTCTGGATGAGCTCAGCCCCACAAGAGCCCTCCTGGGTTTCTTCAGCGTTTGGCCTGGGGGACCCTGAGGGCACAGGCAGGTGCCTCTGCCCCCGGTATGCCTTCCACCTGGGTCTGCTCCAGGCTTCCTGCCCTTTGGGGCTCCTGTCCGATCTCAGGCACGCCTCAGGGCCGGCTGTCACCTCTCACTGTGTACACCCACTGGTCAGTGGCCTGCTGGCTTTTCTCCCCAGTGCCTCTTACAGCCTCCTGGAGGAGCACACTCTTCAGACTCAGTTTCATCTCGTTACAATCAACTGATTTTCCTACTTGCTCCCCGAGGGTCCCCCCATAAGTAACGGTTTCGTTACATGTAGGTCACATGCCCTTCTCTTGTGTGCACTCAAGGTCTCCGGGTGTTCACGAAGCTTTGCGGCATTACCACAATCTGTGTCTCAGTTTCTTCTCTGAGTCTTTTCGGAAGATGGCAGATGGAGCTTGGGCAGGGGCCTATCGCTTCACAGCCTCCAGGGGTCCATGAGTTCATGCCTGTCCACTGTGCGCCTTTGTATAAACCAACGCGCATGCTCAGTAGTGTGCAACTTTGGCTGAGGTGGATTGGAGTGCCGAGGCATCTAGGAGTCGCCTAGGAGTCGCCTGGAATCGCACCTTAGGACTTAGCGTTAGGGATGAGACAGCTGAGTGATCCGAGCGATGAGCCTCGTGGCGCAGGGTGAGGTAGGATGCTGACGGGCCAGGTGGGCCTTCCTCCTTGACGGTGATAGACGGCAGTGGGAGGCCCGTGGCTGGTGGCGCCGGATCAGATCCCAGAGCTGTCGGGGTGTGGCCGCGCGGCTGGCCAAGCCCTGTCCGCAGGCCCAGTCCAAGGGCTGTGCTCATCTGATGCCCGCTTGCTGCTCACGGAAGGGCAGGAAGTGGGTGGGCCTCGGTGCTTTACAGCTGCCCTTTTTATAGTCCAATTTATAAAACAAACAAGTTAAAGGAGCCTAGTGCTCCTGGGGACAAGCGTTGGAGCGTCGGGGAGGAGGCTCTAGGGCTGGGAGGGGTGTGGACAGAGCCTGGGGAGGCTGGCCCAGTGGGTTGTTTTTCTAGTCTACATGGTTCAGGGTGGGCACCTTCCTGGGCAGGCATTGTTATGGGTTTCCTTTCCAAAGGCCTTGAACTTAACTCTGGTGGCTGGAGGAGTAAAATTAGATGATAATAATGTTCAACAATTAATTAAATTAGTAGGGTAGCTGATGTTTTGGATTAAACAAAGTAAGGTAATCGTGGGTGAAGTGTTAATAGAAACCCTCTTTGCAGACAGTCTGGATGATGTGTTTTTACATAATGAGCCCAGTGTGATTTTGTGGAACACGTTTGTTTGATTAACCATGTTTTTAAGGGCTACCAAACCAAATAAGAAACAAACCTTTTAACCTCCTTATTAATTCGTTCCTGTTGCTGTCTTAAGAGTTTCATTTCTTCATTAATCCTTTGCATTTCTCTATAAAATCAAAGTTTGGAGTTAGGCTTTCAAAAGACAGCTGGTGATCCTAGGTGGGAAAGAAAAGCAGGACAAAGACATGCAGGCCTGTCCGTGTGGCTAAAAGGCCTTCAACCACGCTGATCCACAGGGAGCGGGAGGGAGAGGACGGGAGGGGAAGGAAGAGGAAAATGCAAGTAAAAGGAAAAAATGGAAGCAAAGTTTCTGTGAACAGGGAGAAGAGGAGTTAAAGAGAGGGTGACAGGGAAAGGAGACACGTTCTACCACGTACAGTATAAGTTCTCTATGATGAATGTGATCATCATGTAGATCTAAAATGGACCAAGAAAACCTGATTGGAAAAAAAGAAACAACACAAAACAGAAACAGAACAGTCCCCTCCCTCCCATGGCTCCTCACATGCGAATCCCTTTCAGAACAGGCTGAGTGGGAGTGTGGCTGGGCTCCACCTCTGTGTTTCTGCGGGGGCCTGCAGCGGGCATCTGAACCTGCCTGGGGCCTCAATGGGTGCCCAGGAGCAGGCAGAGCGCACACGCATTCGTGTGTGCATGTGTGCATGTGTGCGTGTCTGCATTCATGTGTGCGTGTCTGCATGTCTGCGTGTGTGTGTGTGTGTGTGTGTGTGTGTGTGTGTGCTGTGCTGGCTGTGCCTGCTCTACCTCCTCCATGTGCTCCCGGGGCTGAGGCGGCCTGGCCATCCCTACAAGCCAACAAAACCTCCCGGCTGGACACAGCAGCTGGATCCTGCCAACTCTGCACACTCATGAGCATGGCCGTCCCTTATAAGCTGCTCTTAGCTCCCTACTACCTAAAAACACCACAGCTGGCCACGAGCATTGGACTGAAGCACAACACATGGAGAACGGTCCTCAGGACACATTTCGGAAACGGTGTCCCTGCCGCAGCTCCTTTGATGCCAGCCCAGGTTTGCCTCCTGTGTGGGGAAGGCAGCAGTTCGCACTGAGCACTCTCTGCTGTTCTGGTCCTGGCTGGGCTCTGTGAAAGGGAGGCGGAGACTTCTGTCCCCTCAGAGCCTGGCCTTTTCTGCTGGGCTGTGCTCTGTGCTCCCCTGGTTCTGTGGTCCCACATGTGTCCTTGACACCTCCTGACACCCACCTCAGGATCTCTAGGGTCTTCAGAGACAGCTCCTCTCACCAGTAAACAAGGAACCGAGCTAGAAGGCTTATGCCATACTGAACCAAACCAGGACAGTAACTTACATTCTGTAGTCCCTTTGGTTGACCGCAAATTGTCTCTTTGCATCCTTTATAATTTTGCAGTAGGTGGGAGCAGGTGCTGTGCTGGGCTTCTGGTTAAGGAAAAATCCCAGTGGCCAGCCTTGGGGGGCAGCAGGCAGAAGGAGGGAAGTAAGGAGACCTCGAGGCCTGAGGTCCCAAGCAGGAGCGGAGTGCCTGTCTGGAGCCCCCCTCCGCCGGTTCCTGCATTTAACAGTCTCATCAGTTCTGTAATTATTCTGTTATCTATCTATCTATCTATCTATCTATCTATCTATCTATCTATCTCTATATCTATATCTGTATGTGTGTGTGTGTTTAAAGCAGCAACTTGTTAAATGTAATTGTTAAAAATCTGACACCCTTTTTGTAGCCCTGCTTCAGCATTTCACATACACTGAGAACCTCAAGGTGCAGAGCGCTGGGCTGTGCCATCACCTCGGTCACCAGGTGCACCTGCTGCAGGGGAGGACAAGGGCCAGGAGGCTGAGGGGCTTGCTGTCCTGGGCCAGGCCATCACAAGCTGCACTCCAGGCTGTGTCTCTGTGGCAGGTCTCATGTGCTTGTGTCTGGCAGAGTATCTTCCCTCCGGAAGCAGCAGTTGGCAAGCAATGGGCTCAAGGAGGCAGCCATTCAGCTCGGGCTAAAGTGGGTCCTACTGTTATCAAAGGACAAAGAAAAACCATGATGGTGAGGGGCGGAGAGCAGGGAGCTACTGGTACTCCGCATGAGCATGAAGGTCGCTGCAGCCGCAGGCGAGGGCAGGAGGCTGATGGCTACACCTGTAGCCCTTCCACAGGCTTCCAAAGAAATCTCAAGCAGAGTCCCTGCGTGATTGTTCTGGCTTTCTGTGCACAGTCACACCCCACGCAGACACCTGCACCCAGTTCCCTGCGACCCCATCACCACGGCCATGGTGTGGGAAAGCCTTCATGTCTTGCAATGGACAAAGCAATCCAGAAAGTGTCTGAATGCACACAGTGAGCGTCACTTGCCCCTAAGGAAGTGAATCCTGCCATTTGCCACAAGGTGGACCACCCTGGAGAGTGCTGCCCCAAGTGAACGGGCCAGGCGCAGAAAGCAAGCATTGCATGTGTTCTAATACGAAGAATTGCAGAAAGCTCAGGAGTGGCACTGTCAACCCCGAAGCACTTATATGCACCCCATGAGAGGCTTATTTAGCTCAGTGAAGTAAGAGCCTTCCAGGGAACTTTCCGTGAGTTATTTCTTTTCTTTTGGTGGCTGGCTCAGTCAGCCCTGGGGACGAGGCTAGCACAGCATGTGGTGCTGGGGCTCGAACCATGGTCCCTGCACTTTGCCTAAGCTTGCCTAAGCAGGTGCTCTAGACCACTGACCTATCTCATCAGCTCCTCCTGAGTTATTTCTAACAACATTTCCTATGGGAAAATTCACTTGGTACTTGTCGGTTCTAGAACTCTTTATGAGCTCCAGGATGATTTCTGGAGGAGAACTGAAGTGTGATTATAAATAAGAGGGAAAAAGCAGCCCAAGTAGGACTGATAACGAACTTGAATAGATGCCCTCAAGTTCAGAGTGATTCACCGAGCATCTTCCCTTGCTCAGATCTGAACACAAAGGCCTAAGGGTCAAGGAAGAGAATACCAGTTTCCTGCACACCGAAGGCCACTTTCTCAACACCAGCAGACGCGTGGCCTCCTTGGTGGCAGCCACCCTCTCCAGTTGGCAGGCTCCAACCAGCACCTCTGCCTAATGAAGGAAGGGTGGTGACCGCGACTGTGCTGCACACTTCCTGCCAGGCAGAGTCTGAGAGGCTCTGGGTGACTGTATTTTCTCCACCTCATGAGTAAAATTCTCTGAGACTCGAGAGCAAAACCACTGCTATTTATCTATGCATTCCAGATTTATATTCCCCCTCATTCATGTCTGGATCATAGAATATGATCCTTTTTCCATGAGGAACAAGATGAGCCTTCCTTTAATGTTGGATGTCACAGTGGCTTATAATTTTATGAAAGATGCAGGGCCATGAGAATGTCTGGTTCCCTGCGTGACAGGACTCATTCAAGACAATGTCTTTGGGGCCAGCTTGAGGTACGATGGGATTTCCCAATGCATCTGTCGCCAGCGTTCTTTCCTCGTCTCTCTTGGTCCACATCTTTCTTGCCCTGTGGGTCTCTGTCTGTTCTCAGTGTCGTATAGGTTGTGTTTCCTATGGGCTGCAGAAAGAGGCCCTCCTGGAGATGGGGACTTGACTGTGCTGTGGCGGTCAAGCCAACTCCGCAGGCTGGCTCTCCTTTTTCCTTTCCAGCTGGATATCCTCGCGTCTCTTCCTGTCACCGTATTCCATAAAGTAGACTAGAAGTCTACAATGGGCTATTTCAGTTTGGACCCATCACTGAGGGGAGGGCAAAACTTGGACAGCAGAGAATGGGACTGAGATTGGGCAAAGCAAGAAAGGAGAGGGTTTGTTTACGAACTGGATACAGAAGCTGATGAGAGACATGGAGAAGTGATCAGATATGGCGAGCACAATGATGGAATCGTCAAATGGAGCCTGGGAAGTCTACTGCAGGATGAGAAGATATTTTATTAGGCATTCTCAATACATGCAGAGAGAACGATGGGAGGGACATGAACTGGAGGCCTCTGCGGGGCAGGCCGAAGCAGTGAGGATGCCTGGAGCCTTGCAGGAGAATGCAAACCCAAGGAAGCCCAAAGGGAGAGTGCTCAGGGAGGCACGCCATGAGGGTTAGGAGCAGGAGGAGGCTGAGCAGGCACATAAGAGACAGCGGCTGAGAAGTGCCGGGGCTCGCACCGTGCAATGGCACCGAGGCCAAAAGAGAGTAAGTATATTTTAATAAAAGTGTCCAGTAAGTGGTAGAGGTCAATATGATGATCAGCAAAGGGTCATTAAACTGGCTGGAGTCACTTATTCACCCTGCAGTGTGTGACTGAGCAGCTGTGTGAGCTGGACAGAGATGGCCCTGGACGCTGGAAAGGCACGCAGACAGGAAAACAGGGCCCTGAGATAAGAGGGTGGCTGGGGCATGGGCAGGGAAGGCCACAAGAGATGGCACAGAGGGAGGGGAGCCGGCCCTTGCGGCTGGATAGGAGGAGCTGGTGGGGACAGGAGTCCAAGGGCACAGGTGCTGGTCCTGAGGGGCCTCTGTGGCTGCAGTGACACATGACAGGGAGCTCGGAGCCAGGGCTGGCTGACCTCATGCTTGCTATGTGGTGAGCATCTTGAAAGGAAAAGAGAGAAGACAGAGTTAGGAGTTAGGAGGAGACGCCATGGTGGTGCTTGGGGAAGAGTGGACGGAGTGGCCGGGAAGAGCGGCGAATGTTTCCAACATGTAACACTAGAGTGTCTTCAAGTGCCTGTCCTGAAGGCTGGAAAAACATTACAGAACCTGCGGCATTCCCAACAGCATTCTGGGCTGTGACAGCAGGGTAGGAAGGCTTGGCAGGAGTCCTGCCAGCTTGGGGCCAGCCGCTCAAAGGTCCCACGCACAGCAGGCTAACAGTGCAGTTCTAACAGTGAAGGGCCTGGGCCAGGGCAGCCAGTGTCTGTCTGTCTGTCCAGTCAACCTGCTTCTTGATGAGCATCTCAAACCTAGAAGAGGCTGGGGTCATCCAGGACATCTTAAAGATGTCATGTGTGAAAGGGCGGTGGCCAGAGGAGCAGGGCTGGGCACGAAGTGAGATGAAGGGCTAAAGCAGCACTCAGTGGGCTTTCCAGCGCTGTCCCCTGCAGGAAAAACAACTGGAACAGGACGGCCCTGGTGTCTTGTCTTACCAGGCACATGGAGGAGAGTGATGGAGCCCTGTGTGGCCTCAGGCTCCAGAGCGGCTCCTGCCCCCAGGACACCTAAGGCCACCTGGCACCCAGGCCTGGCCTCCAGGCTGCCCAGAGTCAGGAGGGCCTCTGTGGCCTCTGTGCTTACAGACTCAGGTCCTGGCCACCCAGGCTCCAGATGGCCTCTAGGCCAAGGTGGTGCTCACAGCTTCTGGGCCAGCATGTGTGGGCTCAGCCTCCTCCAGACTTGCCCTGTGCTCAGTGGTTTGGCTCCTGAGCAGTGTGAATGGACAGGGACTTCACTTTGGTCGCAGGAGCTCTGCTCAGTGCTCACCTGCTGGCCGCCTGGCGGAGGCTGTCCCAGGAAGTCTTCTGGGGCGAGGGCCTTGTGTGGGGCTGAGGCCTGTTCCTGTGTGCTTCCGAAGGCAACTCACTCCCCTGGGAGGCAGCCTTCACAGAACCGTGGTTAGAGTCAAACAGGACAGCTGCTGAATGGCAAGGGCACTGCTGGAACTGCCTGCTTTCCAGTGATGGTTCTCACAACCCGTGTCCAAGTGTAGTGGAGTCTGCAGGAGTGTCCGGGCCGGCCGGAGGTCTGATCACACTACATAACTTACTTCAGCTTCAGCTTCTTCCAGATAACATTACAGGCATGAGTGTCCGCGTGAGCCTCATGTTTTCCTTGATGGCAGTCAAATCCGGGGGGAAGCATTTCAAAGTGAAACATTCTTAGGTTGAATGCAGGTTACTCCTAAATTTGAGATTTCATTCTGCAAATCAACAGCTTTGCTTATTCAAATGACTGGACAATGTTGAGAATACAGTAGCACTTGGGTCTAAGAAGAAAGTAATAAATACCTTATTGTAGATAAAAACTAAATTTTACAAAAATCTAATTTTAAATAATATTTCAGCAGAACTTAAAAATATTTTATGAATATTACAAAAGCACTACAGTAATCAAAAGAAAAATCTTGCATAATTCTGGTCTCCAAAATCCCTATTTATTTCTATTTTTCTACGTATTTCTCCAGCTGTCATATTTTGCATTATTATTATAATGCAATTCCTACTTTTTGGTCCAATAATATCACACTTTCTTCATGCATTAGGTTTCATAGTAGTCACTTTAATGTTTTTTTTTCTTTTCAAAGTTTTATTGATAAACATATAGCAATGAGACAGTTTCAAATCAAATCGAAAGTACAGTTTCAACAAATAATACACTGC